GACAGTGATTAGACTTATTCCGACATGCAAACCGTGGTCTCAATTGAGGCCGAACTCTACAGCAGAGCTCAGGTGCGGGCTGCTGTTTGCACGTCTTCAGCAAGGAGTGTTGCTCTTACGCACGTTCCGAATTATTCATTGGGGATTTGGGGGAAGGGGCCATCACCTATGGCACGGCCATCCATGCCACGGGTTTTAAGGTTGGCCAGTGGCCAAGTCGAAGTTTATTGTCGCCATGCGATGATGGTCAAGTATTGTTCGGTCAAATATTGTTCGAGTCAGTCCTTGAGCTGCTTTATTCATGCATACCATCATATCAGTTGCACATTTGTGGAGGCAAGTTTGGCACAACAGCCGCGCCCGCAGCCAGATCTCCGGATGTGTCGAAGAACGTGCTTACATTTTGCTATCGCCTTTCGTTTCCATCACATATTTGCCCTTGCACAACGGCGAAGCCTTTGCTGATTAGACAGATGTGCTGCTTTTGCTTCTATTTACTGATCTCTACCACTATGTTTGCTGCCCTATTCTAATTCCCATGGCGTCATTGGCTCTGTCGGTGATCCTGTTGAAAGTAGAAATAGCCTGTCCGGGCACGCGCCATCCTGCCGCCGACTGTGCTAGTGGAGGCCGAGAACGTTGCCCCTTTGAAAGGCTGCTTGTTGTGCTGACGGCAGATCGTTTCCGTGGTGTGTTTCTGTGCCGATGCGTGCTCACGGAACGTGACCTGTTGTGAGATTTTTGTTGATCTCAAGGTTTGCGTTGACTTTACGGTTTAATGCCTGGCCTTCGGTGCAAAATGGCGATTTCGGTGGTTTTGCCGGCAATTTCGATTCCCAGGGCTGTATCTGGGTGTAAGGGCTACCCCTGGGTTGTATCATACTGTAGGGTCATTGGGTTTAAGGGCTACTCTGTGATTGTACGGGCGACTCTGGGGCTGTGTCATAGGGTTTAAGAGCTACTCTGGGGTTGTATCATAGCGTTTAATGGCCATTCTGGAGCTGCATCATAGGGCTTAAGGGCTATTTTGGCGCCGTATGCCTTGCAGCTGCAAGACCTCAAGCGTTATCGTGTCACGGGCGAGAGACCTGGGTGAAATTGCCGCCCAGAATATGTCACTAGTGAGCTGGCTATGAAGCGAATACGTCGTGGATTCTTCGACTGTTGTGTAAGCCAAAAGTTGTTCGTCTGGTGTGAAAGTGTAGAGCTAATGTATCGTGATAATTTTTTTTCAACGTTGAGGGTTCCTCGGTGGGTAGGTTTTTCCATGGTGAAAGCTGGAACTGCTAAACTCTTGACCCTAAACAAGGATCTTTCGCCCCCTGGTTGGTGGTCTAAAACCTAAACCCTAAACCCGGAGCCTTGGGCCTTGAACCCTAAACCTTAGTCGGGGAATGGATTTCTGTGGTAGTCCCGTAAGGTCCCATATAGCAATCCCTATATTTGGAGGATCATGAGTAGTTATGAGGCTCTTTTGAGGGATCTACAAGGGCTCGACAAGTGCATTATACAGATTTCTATACGGGGTCATACTTGGAGGTTCATGGGTAGTTATCAGACGTATCTATACGTTTAATACAGTTTGTAACTCCTACCTAGTTATCCTACTTACAGCCCCTACTTGGAACTACCCGTGAACCTCCAGATAACTCATTCCGCCATTCCTTGCTAACCAAGGAGTTAAGGCTTCGTTTCTTTTTTTGTTTTAGGCTGCTTCTCTGGGAGTTGCAAGGGTTCTACAAGGGGTTCATGCAAATGGATTCGTTACGCTTGAAGGTTTCTGTCAGGGATGTGCAAGGGATTTTTTCCGGGCTCGTCGACGGATACCAGTTATACGAGTTCTATGCGCAGGGTTGATAATGGTTCCGTAGGGTGTGCATGGGGTTTGGCATTTAGGGCTGTCGGGTTATGAACTTTTAACCCTCAGCCAAAAATCCCTCACAACAGCCACTATAAAGCCGCGCAAACCCTAAACCATAAACCCGAAGCCTTAAACCTAGATCACAAGACCCTCAGAATGTTTTGGCTTCCCAGGTTCGCCACGCCGGACGAGGCCGTGGTATCCTGGGAGCGGCCTGGAAGCCATCGGTTTAAGGGTTTAGGGATTTGGAGTTTAGGGTTTAGAGTTCGGGGTTGGGGTTCAAGGGCTCTGCAGACCTGTTGCAGGGCGCTTTGAGCGTTCTTCAAGGCTGCTTTGAGGGTTTAGGGTCCCAGGGACTTCGGCAACCCTTTTGTCAATGGCGTTTTAACGTACCCTAAGCCTTTAACCGCTTTACTTGTTTTTGTCATTTTTTGATTTTGTAGGGTTTCGGTAGAGTTTTGTAGGCTTCGCAGGCAAGGGTTTCACCAGGACAGAGGTTCAGGGCTTGGTCTTTTCGAGGCCACTAAGCAAGAATGCTATCGCCTATGATAACCGAAAATGGCAAATTTCAGTAGATTTGTACAGGGCTCTTATTGTTCCAGGACTACGCCAAAAGGCCCTGCTTGTGTTCCTCAATGGTGAACCGAAAAAGCGAGAAACCTTCGGCGATAGTAGGGCTCAAAGTGGCCACGCCACGTGGGTTTGAGGTAGTAGGGTTTAGGGTTTAAGCTTCTACAGGTTTTGATGGGTGTTTTGCTTGTGCAATAGTCATAGTCATAGTGTATACTTCGTTTAATCCTAGTTATGAAGTCTCGTGATACCTCGTATCCGAGCATCCCAGGGAAGAGCGTGTGCAGCCTCTCCGTGGCGCGGGGGATCTGCTGCGAGGGTTCTTCCGCTTCTATGCCGAGGACCACGGCAAGACAAACAACATTTGCCCTTCCCAGAGACACCAAAATCCTTCAATAGGATGTAGGGTTTAGGGTTTTCGGTTTAGGGTTTAGTGTTCAGGGTTCAGGGTTTAGGGTTTAGGGAACACCCTAATTAAGCCTTGTATCCTGAAGCGCTAATGCCGTAAAGCACATCCATGGTGTCCTCGAGGCTGCAAAGGAATATACCCTATATGATTCAACGAGTTGAAGGCATCTTGGTTCTTGAGATTCTATCCGATTTTCCGACGAAAATTGCATCTAGGTTCTTTGTTCCCATAGTGTTTGTTTGATTAAGGGGGCTGCATGCACAGACGGCAGCACCCTTCCTACCTGTAGTGTAAGACCTTTAGAGATGATGCCGCACCTTGGGGTATCAATGCCTTTTTGTTGCATCGTTTTATTTCTTCTGGATTTGGTTCCCTGAAGCTTAACCCGAAGCCCAAACCCCTAGATACTCGTAGGTAGCAGATCAAGCCCGCCCGAATGGGCTTCTTGCGCGTCCGAGCAAGAACAGGGCCCCTCAAAAAGAAACTTAACCATTGACCCTAAACCCTAAACCCTAAACCCTAAACCCTAAACCCTAAACCCTAAACCCTAAAAAGAAACTTAACCATTGAAGCAACTCTAAGCTCGAAGCTCTAGTCCCCAAGCCCGAAACCCTCAATCCTTAAAGCAACAACGAACCCATTAAAGCAACTCTAAACTCGAAGCCCTAATCTCTAAACCCCAAAGACAACTCCAAACACTCGAAGCCCTCAGCCCAATACTCGGAATCCTAAACCCTAAACCCTAAACCCTAAACCCTAAACCCTAAACCCTAAACCCTAAACCCTAAACCCTAACCGCTCCTTGGAGAAATCGCGATCTTTTCGTGAGGACTTCGACTGGCATTCCGAGGCGCCAGGGCGCTGTAACTAAGGGATATTGCAAGGGTTTAGGGTTTAGGGTTTAGGGTTTAGGGTTTAGGGTTTAGGGTTTAGGGTTTAGGGTTCAGAGTCACGTTCTGACGGTTTAAGGCTTAATGCGCTTTGCGTTGCTTTTGGGCTTGCCCTTGATCCGGATTGTTGCCTCTTGGGTGGACGCGATCTCGCAGAGAGGTGGTGTCTGTTCGCATGGGCTCCCGCAACAACGTCTCCAGTGTTGGCCACGTCTTCCATCCCAGGCGGGGCTTGTTTTCGATGTCGGCGATAAGATTCCCTAAGCCCTAAACCCTAAAGCCCACGGGCAAAGAGGCAAAAGAAACTTATCTTCGGGTATGGACTAGGAAGCTTACTTGGAGGTTTCAAGGTAATGCAGGAATGCTATTTTGGAGGTTCCTTTTTATAATTATAGTGTAATGGGCCCCAAAAACATTATGCTTAGTTTTTTCGTGTGTTTTAAGTACATCTGTGCTTCGACTTATGTGGCTGGAACGTTCAGGTAAGATCCACTGTACTGTAGGAGCTTTGACACCCCTAAACCCTAAACCCTAAACCCTAAACACTTCGTGAGTTAGGTAGGGATTCAGTCATTCGCATTCCTTCCAAGATCCCATCGTGGCCCCGGGATTGAGTATAAAAGCGTCAGTTATTCGTAATATTGTTCTTTTGATTTTTTGTGGCTATAGTTAAAGCACGCCTTACCCAAAAGCCGTTGTAATAGTTAAGGCCCTACTACTGTAGGCCCTGTACTAGTCAACGGTTTGTATTCCTTCGTGACGTTGCGATTGGGCCACCAACTGCAACTTCAACTCTGCAGCTAGCATAAGTTAGGGTTTATTTAGGGGTTTGGGGTTTAGGGTTTAGGGTTTAGGGTCGAAGAGCAACAAAAGCACGAACAGCAGGGAGGTGAAAGCATGAAACATCGCATTGATCCAGTAGATCAACCGAGAGAAGACAGGTGATACACATGAGCAAAACAACAGACGATAAAACCAACTAATTAGAGTTGCAATGCGACTGACAATCGTTTTGCTAAGAAGGCCCATCATATGACTGGCCTGTTTCATCAGTTCTCTAAATAGGGTCCCTTTTTAGGTCCCCAATGTAGTACGGTTATAAACGGGACCTCAAAAGGGACCCTAATTTAGAGAACTACCCATTTTGGCTGCCTGAAGTTCAACAGTCGCCCTTGGCTGCTCAGCTCAAAAAGAAGCAAGAATCCAGCCAATCGGACGGGGAAGTGCTTCCAGCCTAGGGCCGAGGGTTGAGTGTTAAAGGTTACCAGCCATGCAGCCCGTGACAGTTGTGGTCCGCTCGCGAAGACAGGGCATGCTTGTGAATCGTTTTCCTGCTCTTTGCTCTGAACCTGCTGGCAAGGTTGTCGCCAACAGGTTCGGGAAAGCAAAAGAGTGGGAGACGTGGACGATGGAGTTCCATGGCGACAAGGTTGCTTTGCGATCCCATCACGGCACATACCTCAGAGCTCAGGCAGACGGATTCGTCGTGGCGGATCAGACGAGTGTCCGAGGCTCGGAGAAATGGAGCATGGAGAATGCCCCAGGTTCCGATGGCTACATCGTGGCCTTCAAGTCATGCCATGGAAAGTACCTTTGTGCGGATGACGGTCACTTCATGAACATTGGAGTCGGAAATGTGGTTCATGCCGATAGAGATGCGTGTGGAGAATGGGAGCAGTGGACCATTAGCACTCCCGGGGATGTTCCACTGTGCCGAGCCGATGTTTTTCACGCTCTTGGTGCCGCGGCTGTGTCTGGAGCAACAGGAACAGCCGTCGCTCTGGTTGTGACTCCGGGAATTGCCGCCGCGCTCGGCTTCACGGCCGAGGGCATCGCCGCAGGTTCTGTCGCAGCTGGGATGATGTCAGCAGCAGCCATTGCTGAAGGTGGAGGTGTCGCTGCGGGCAGTACTGTTGCAACCTTGCAGGCAGTTGGCACGGGAGCTGCCCTCGGAGGCACTGCGCTCGCTGGTACCATCTGCGCTGTAGCGTTGCCGGTCACCGCAGTTGTCGGCTTGGCAGTTTGGGCAGGGGTTGTCACGAACCGTAGCTTCCTCAGAAATGCTCTCAAACACAAGCCACCTAGGGGCAAGTGGATGCTGGGGACGGAAGAAGGCATAAACAACGTGCTCTTCTATGAGTTCCCGGACGAGCCGACGGCAGTTCATGCGTTTGACGATGTAAAGACGTCTCGCATACTCTTCAACAAGGAGCATAGGGAGGTACGCTGCGCAGGCCTGAATGGCAATGGTGTCGAGACTATCCGGGTGAAGGCGCTTCACGCATCATCGAGGTACGCACACTTTTTTCCCCAGATTCAAGAGCCCTTAACCACATTCCTAGGCCCAAAGCCTAAACCCCTAAATTCCTAGGCCCGAAGCCCTAAACCCTCAACTCCTAAGCTCTTAGGTCCGAAACTCGAAACCTTCATGTTCCCCAAAACAGAAATCCTATTTTCCCCCCCTCAAAGCTGGAGGCCTCGATAGCCTTCAACCCGGCCAGTATCCGCACCAGCAGACAGCCGGGAACTGCCAGCCAAAATCTGCATGCCCGTCACTGTTTGCTTGTAGCGTTGCTTTTGAGCATTGGGGTGCTTGGGGTTTCAAACCACCGTCTCTTGGCTCTGAGGCTGTAGGGTTCTAGATGCTGGGTGTTTGTCGAGCGAAACGGGTTTGGCACTAACTAGGGCAACCAAGCCAACTCTAAAGCACGGAAGTGACGGTTAATGCGAAAGTACATGTCCTGACCCCTTACAGCACCCGTATGACTTCGAAGCCTTACAGCCCCCAAGTCCCTAAAGCCCTACCTTACCCTACCATAACCTAATATAGGGGCCTACACAATTACTGATACTATTTTGCGGGTTCCTGATTATGACTATACAGTATCATTTACCCCCAAAACCCTGTTTTAATGATTAAGGCCCCTACATTACCCTACCATAGCCTCCTTGTTCGTAGGGTCCGTTCGAGCGAAGCCTTAGACCCCCTAAACCCCAGAATGCCCGCAACCCCGGAAGCTGAAGCCCTGAAACCCACACTGTAAGAACCCTAAGCCTTAAGCCCAGAGACTTTGATCTCCCTTAATCAAGGAATATACCTTAAATTAGAGTAGGATCCCTAATCTGATTTAAGGTCGATTCTTTAATTAAGGGATATCGGAGTCCCTGGGAGCCCTCTACCCTAAGTCCCTGACGCCAAAAACCCGAAATTGCATCCTAAATCCATATTGACATCCCAAACCCCCAAAACTCTAAATTCTGACAAAACCCTAAACCCTAAATTTTGATAAAAACCGTCAACTTCCCAAGAAAGATCCCGACGCTTGGCAGGATGCCGCGGCGCCCGCGGGGAGGCGGCGAGGATGGCTGCCTGCATATCGAGGCCAGGTTTACAGGGTTCTTTGTAAGGGATTTAGGGTTTAGGGTTTAGGGTTTATGTAAGTTACCTTAATAGGGACCTATAGTAAATAAGATGGTTTCATTATTATGGTAACTTAAATTACGTCCCTTAAGAAGAACCCAGTTTAGACGATGCAGGGTTCAGGGTTCAGGTGTAAGTTTAGGGTTTACGGTTCAGGGTTTCAGGGTTTCAGGCGTAAGGTTCAGGGTTTAGGGTGCAGGGTTCAGGGTTTAAGGTTTAAGAGTTTAAGGGTTAAGAGTTCAGATTAAAGCCCTCCACCCTGAACTGGAGTTGCTTTGGGCAGCGGTGATCGGAGGTCAGATTTGTTGGGTGGTTTCTGAGAACTGAGGGTCACAAGGGCTCTTTCAAGACTGTGAAGCATGTTGCTTACATGAGTGAAGATGTCAAAACCGTATAGTGGGGGTTGTTACACACTAGGGTTGCCTTCTTAACCCCAAACACCCAACCCTAAACCCTAGACCCCCAACCCTAAACCCTAAAGCCTAAAACCTAAAACCCCCAATCTTAAACCCTGAACCCTAAACTCCCATCCCTAAACCCAAAAAACCTAAACCCTAAATCCCACAGATTAACGTTTATGGCGCAGGGGTCCTTAGGCTTGGGGTTTAGGGTTCAGGGACTTATCGACTCTTGTGGGCTTCTCAGAACCAGGGTTTATAGGGTTTAGGATTTAGGGTTGAGGGTTTAGGATTTAGGGTTGGGGGTTTAGTTTTCAGGATTTCGGATTTAGGGTTTGGTCCTTACAGATCCCCCTAGTGTTGGTTTATATTCGGATCCCCTGATATATTCGATTGGCATTCCGAGTTTCTTGGGTGCCTACAGTGAGTCTATAGGGTCTTTTAAGGGTCAGTGTTCGTCCCCTTTGATGACTATTGTCGCTGTTCCTGTTCCCTGCCTCACTTTCGTGTTGCTGCAGTGCTGCTCCAAATATTGCTTCGAGGTTGTGTGACTGTGTCTATAACTAGTGGAGCCATTCCTCCTCCTCCTCATCCTGCTACTATGCCAGCACAACCACCACCACCACCGCCACCACCGCCGCCGCCACCACCGCCACCACCGCCACCGCCACTGCCGCCACCGCCACCACCACCACCACCATCACCACCACCACCACCACCGCCAACCACCGCCACTGCCGCCACCACCACCACCACCACAACCACCACAACCACCACCACAAGATAGTAACCTTTGGAATCCTTTCACCCAAAACCCCTATCCTAAACCTTGTCCCCAAACTTAAAACCCTGAAGCCCGAAACCCTAAACCCTTAACCCTTCCAGAAACCTTAAGGGAAGCTAGACCCTAAACCCTAAACCCAAAACCCTATTCCTTAAGGAAACCGTAAAAGGATCCGATCGAAGTCGGTCGAAATCTGAACTTCGCGCTGACAGGTGGCCCGGCATCATTAGGTGCTTTGAGATTGTTCCTGAGGATGGAACGGGTTTAGGGTTCAGGGTTTAAGGTTTATGGGTTGTAGGGTTAGGGTTTAGGGTTTTGGGGTTAGGGGTCAGGAGTTTCGGTGCTAATTTCAGGGGTTTCCAGGCTTTTGGACTATACTGTGGACTGCTTGTTGGCTGTGTTGAGCATTAGGGTTTCTTCTCAGATTTGGTGGAGCATGCACCCTTTTGTACTTAGGGTTGACCGTATGTTGAGGCCTTCACTACTCCAACAAAACATGATGCAAACCTTACAAACCCCATGAACGATTTCGAATTGGGCCTTCTGGACCCATCGCTTTGAAGCCCTTAAGCCGAAATTCTCCAGATACCTTAGGTAACAAATCCTTAGCCGTAAAAGCTCAAATCCTTTGCCACTAACCAAAGCCCTGAGTCTGTGTTGCCCCAATGTCAGTCCTTGTAAAGGCCCCCCTCAATTGCGCGACGAGGACATGTTGTGGATGAGATGTTGTAGATGTTTGCAAGCGATTCAGGGTTTTGGTTTTTGTAGGAGGCTAGGGGTTTGCAGGCCTGCGGGTTTGGGGACAAGTTGCGGAAAATAGTTGCTCGTGGATTGCGTACGAGTCTCGTTTGATCCCAGGTGACACATTGTACACCTTGCGCTGGTCCGTGGATATGGTGCACGATCGTTTCCAGGCCATTAAGTTTACCCCTAAACCCTAAACCCCTAAACCCTAAACCCTAAACCCCTACACCCTAAATCCTAAACCCTAAGCCCTAAACCCTGAACCCTAAATCCTAAACCCTAAACCCGGGCTTTGGAGCTTGTGCGACGAAAAAGGCCCTTAAAAAAAAAAAAAAAACCCTAAACCCTAAACCCCTAAACCCTAAATCCTGACCTCAGAACTTAGACCCTACCTATCACACTCCCGGCCATCCCTACACCTGCACCTCTCACGCCTGAGCCCCAAACCCCTGAAGCCAGAAGCCTTTAATAGGTTTAGGGTTTAGGGTTTAGGATATTTAGGGTTTAGGATTTAAGGCCCGGACACCATAGGGGCGCAAAGAATAACCAGCATTCTTCCGAAGGTGCCTGAATAGGTAGTAATATTAGGGGTACCCCTTAAAGGGTACCCCTTCTGAACCCTACTTTGGGCTCTCTTAAAAGAGACCTTATTGAGAGGGTCTATATCCCCAAGGGTCCCCCTAATCCTAGCTCCCATCTAAGCCGTTGAAAGAAACTTCCAAGGCGCAAAAACCACTCTATGGATGATCCCCAGAGCTTGTCCAAGCATCCGACAGAAGGCCTAAACCCGAAGTACTTATGAGCCCCAGCGAGCTAACCCCACTTAGGGAAATGTAACCCGAGTTGTAAACCGACTTGCTAAGTCCCCCATGCCCTTAGATTTAAATTAATGATGACTCGCAGGAGCCCAGAGATATCTGAAGGCTCCCTAAATACGGTTCAGGTTTCAGGTTTAGGGTTTGGAGTTTAGGCTTTGGGGTTTCGGGTTTAGGGCCTGTCCCTTTGAGAAGATAACGATAGCCTTGACCTGCCAAAGCCCAGTTTTCGTAGGGTCCCCCAGAATCCATATTAGAGTTTATAGAATAAGAACCTGCAAAAAAGTAGGTTATGGTAGTTTAAGGGTTCAGGGTTTTAGGTGGTTTCCGCAGAAAGCCTTAAACCCTAAACCCTAAACCCTAACCCTATACTATCAGAAAGTATGCATTTTGCTTGAAGAGGAGGTGGGACCCTCGGTTCGAGGTTCAAGCTTTTCGATTCCGGCTGTTGAATTTAGGGCTGAGGGTTTAGAGATCTAAGGATTTAGGGTTTAGAGTTTTGGGATTTAGGGGTTAGGGTGTATGTTTCAGGGTTTAGGGTTTAGAGGGGTTTAAAGTTTGGGTGTTAGCAACTACGGACGTGAATTCAAGGTGAAGGGTACCAAAGCTTGCAACCCTGAACCCGACAGACCAAGCCGCCTCTCACAGCCTCTTGGGGTTTAGGGTCTAGGTTTAGGGTTCAGGGTTTAGGGTTTAGGGTCTAGGGTTTAGATTGATTCAGCTGTTCAAACTTTATGACCAAGCTTGTCCGTGGATTAGGCTCGTTCACATCATAGTCACTACACTTGATTCCCAGATGCTGAGCATAGACGCTAATCCCTAAAGCCGAGCCCCGCCCATATTCTAGGTATCTTAAGAGGAAAACCTATGTAATTTCGAGCATCCGAAACCTCGGGTCCTAAACCTCACAGTGCCCTAAACCCTAAACCCTAAAAACCCTTTAAGCCCCCCGAAACCCCGTTCAGAACCCTGCGTCCGCAGAACCTTTACACGGCCCAAGCGGCAAGCCCAAAGGCCAGAGAGCCTAATCCATCCCATCTCCCCTTAGTTGGAGGTTCATGGGTAGTTATAAGTAGGGTTATAAGTAGGGTAACTACAGTTATAACCTATATTAGGGGACTTATAACTCCACTTATAACTACCCATGAACCTCCAAGTAAGACCCCTTATAGACCCCTTATAGGACCCCTTATAGAACCCTCTTATTGA